CACTCACTCAGTGCAAACACTCACTCAGGTATACCAGTCTGTTTCAGACGAAGTTGTCTTGGAGGGTTGTACCCTTTGCTGATGTAAAAACCGGCTCCTCATTAGAATCGCTTTTTCCCTGCTCATGCTGGCTCGATTGGTCGCACTGTTTTGGTTAAGTTTTGTGGGAGGCTCAGTCGGTACTGTAGTGAGTGCGGCTTCAATCACAAATAGATCAGATACCATTGTATGGATCATTGTGTGGACAGGACCGTGTGTGGCCCGCCCACCCAGCACAAACACCGTTTGGACAGGACCGTGTGTGGCACACCAATAAAGAGGTCGTGGTATTTACTTACTCTTTGGTTTCGGTCTTCTTAATTACATCTTGCGGTGTGTTCTCGATGACTTTGCAGAATTCTTCAAAACTGAGTTTCCCGTTGTGGTCAAGATCGAACTTCTCGACGTAGTTCTTAAGTTCCGGTTGGCTCTTTTTGGAGGGTTGGAGGATGTCAATGAACTCTTGGATATCAATTTCGCCGTTTCCGTCAATGTCGAAAACGCTAAAAGCGCTGCTTAATCGCGCTCTATTCGCAACGTATGTGTCGTCTAGCGTAACCGCCAGCCATTCCGAGATGCCTATGTAGCCGTCTTGGTTTAGGTCCATGCGGGTGAACATATCTTCAGCTTCCTGTTCAAGCACATCGGAAATCAGTTCCAAACCCTCCGCGGATGCATTATCCGTGGCCTTGGCAACCCCAGTCATTGTCATAGCGCTTGCCCCGGCCGTCGAGGCGGTAGCCGGCGCCGCTTGTCCCGTGTTCGACGACATGGCACTCACAGCAGCTCCGGTCTCCGAACAGTCCACCATTTTCTTTGCCCCTTGAGACTTATACGCCATGTATGCTTTAATAAACTCTTCCTTGTCCAGTATTCCATTGCCATCAGTATCCATTGACTTGAACGTATCAGTCAGGGTCTTGATGTCAGCATCTTTATTCGCATGGTAACCGATGCAGAGGCGTATGGCATGTTGCAATCGATTGAACCCGTGCAATTTCCGTAGATTATTCACCACCTGATCTGTAAGCCCATCAAACGGGGTAGGACCACTGGCATTATGACCACTGGCATTATGACCACTGGCATTATGACCACTGGCATTATGACC